AAAGCAGCTCTTAGGCATAATTCTTTTGTTTGGTTTCATAGAAAACATTTTGCTTTAGGTCTCTCAATAAAGAGCCTATGCAGGTGGAAAACTTTGCTTTTGTACCTAAAAATTTTGTTTTTCTGATTCTCAGAACTGGGATTTAATTCAGAAAATCATGCTGCTTTTTCCTGGAGAAAGGTTGTTTGTTGAAATGTCTATGTGAGAAATGTTCAGAGCACCGGGTCAAAACCCGTGCGAGTGCAGAGATGGGGGCCGCGGCGGCAAACTGCTCAGGTGGTTGATGTCAGGCAGTGTTGAGGTTGCTTCTGTGTGCCAGCAGGCTGGTTTCTGAATAGGTTTTCTTATTTCCAGATATTAACTCGAGATTTCAAATTTTTCAAGAGCAGTATTAACAAGGCCTAACATGTGGAGGTCAGTCGCCTGGGTTGGCAAAAGACAAACGCTTCCTGGCCTGGGACAGGTGATCATTAGGTTACAGCGTCTGCACAGAACAGAACGATGCACACTCCGCCATGTACCTGATGGGTCCCAGGGTCAGTCATTACCTGATGATCAGAGGAGCACCATTTAGACTCCCAGGCATTTGGGGGTATTAGGCCTCTGGATGGAGTTTGGCATATACCGGCTAAATCCTGGCTGGATGAGTGCTTTGTCACTTCTTGGTGACCTTCTTTTCCTTCCCTCCCACCTTCCCCTCCTCTTTCACTTGCACTAAGTATGTCTGTGATGTGAGTGTCTGTCAGCGCTTCATTGGCCCTGTGTGAAACCGGGGCTGAGGAGCAGGGGTGGCTTCTAGGCTGGCAGCACACTGCTTTGTGGGAAAAGGGCTCTGATATGCTCTGTCTTTACAGCTTTTTTAAAAAAATCTAACTTGGCCACTTCTTTTATGAAGAAGACAAATCAGACAAATTGGATGGAAGGTATGAGTGAACATCATTTACTCCTTCAACAGCTATTTATTGAGCAACTCCTATGTTGTATTACAATGTCAACATTACATCTGAATTAGGTGATGACCTCTCTGGGAAGAAGGCCTATCTTCCAGCTATCTCTGAATCCAAGGGTCTGTGCAGGATCCAAGACAAGGCACATGGCTAAGTGATTACTGAAAGAAAATCAGAGAGGGGAAACATGGGCAGCGTGTATCGAGCCTTCTGGCCTCCTCCCCAGGCACCTGCCAAGAGCCCCCAGTTTTAGCATCCACTATACCAGCTCCTACCCCCCAGTGTATCCTGAGCTATGAGTCCAGACTTCTGGTCATGTTCTCTGGCTGCAGCAAAACGATCCTGTACCAACAGGATGTGCATGTTAGTGTGTGTAGGATTATGTGAGAGGATGGGTAGTACTTCGGAACAGCAGCTCCAGGCCAGACTGCCCAGGTTAGAATCCTGCCTCCACTATTGACCATGTGACTTGCGTGAGCTCTTTACTCTCTGTGCCTCGGTTTCCTCATCTGTCAAGTAGGGATAATAATATTACCTATCTCCTAGCATTGTTATGAAGAGGAAATGATGCCTATAATCCTGGTACTTTGGGAAGCTGAGGCAGCTGGATCACTTGAGGTCAGGAGTTGAAGACCAGCCTGGCCAACATGGGGAAACCCCGTCTCTACTAAAAATACAAAAATTAGCTGAGCATGGTGGCAGGTGCCTGTAATCCCAGCTACTCAGGAGTCTGAGGCAGGAGAATCACTTGAACCTGGGAGGCGGAGGTTGCAGTGAGCCCAGGTCGTACCACTGCACTCCAGCATAGGTGATAGAGACTCCATCTCAAAAAAAAAGCAAATGAGTTGCTGACATGAAGCACAACAGGCCTGGCACATGTGGCCATCAGCGTGGGATACAGATGTTTCATTTTAATAATAAAGTTTATCATTGTAAAACATACATGTAGAAATTTTAAAAGAACGGGATGACAGTAGACAGTCTCGTATTTTATTCCTACACCCCACTGGTTTGTCCTGAGCACCCCATTTTGGATACCAGAGTCCTGGGAAAACCAAGCAAATTATTCCCCCACCTTCTCCATACCCTCTCTGGGTGTCGCACACCTAACCCCACGGTTAACAGTTCAGGATCACCACAGCCCTGTGGGTCTGTACCCAGGCAATTGTGTTGCTAGTTAGCTCCCTTCATTTAAATACGTGCATTCTTCGGTGTGTTAATTGCTTTTAAGTTAGAAGAGAGGAAACAAGGAAAAAGAAAAAAATATATAAATAAATACTTGGATTCTAGCCCTCTTCTTTTCAAAATAAGAAAGAGGCTGGGATTCTTAGGGTGGAATAGGGTCAGGGGCTAGAGGAAGGCCGTGGGAGATTTCATTCTGGGCAGAGGGAGAAGTGGGGAGGGCGGGAGAGCTGTGCCGAGGTCACGAGCCTGAGCCCTTCCCCCACCCCCAGGGACGCTCTCGTGGCTGGGCCTCTTCTCCGGCAGAGCCTTCCAGGAGGGCAGTCCTTCAGGAACTGCCTGGAGCACTCCTTGTCCCACGGTGCCAGGGGTTCCCAGCTACGCTGGTAGTTGCCTGGAGTGTTCTTTCTGGAACCAGGGCAATCAAGGTGGCAAGATACTGGGGTGAGGAGGGTGTACCTCTGAAACCATAGGAATGAAGGTGGGATCTAGGTTATAGCTATATCCAGGCCTGGTCCTGGATTCCATGACTTCCTTTTTAATAAATCATCTGTGGCTCTGAAGGGAACGTATCCTTGTGGTGTTTGTGGTAAGAATGTAATTTGGAAAACGGGCATTTATCTCCGAGGCATTCTGTCTTTCACATTCAGTCCCCTCAGCTACCCAGTGAAAGAAGGTACTACTATGAACACCATTTTTTTTTTTTAATATGGAACGCTTCACGAATTTGCGTGTCATCCTTGCGCAGGGGCCATGCTTATCTTCTCTGTATCGTTCCAATTTTAGTATATGTGCTGCCGAAGCAAGCACTGTGAACACCATTTTATAGATGGCATTAAACATGGCCAGGACGCAAACCCAGGCCCTGACCACAGAGTCTGTGTTCTTCTATCTCCAGACCACACATCCTTCTTCCAAGCTTGCCCTTGAGAATAAAACACTGATGAAAGAACTTTGTGAGGTCCAGTGCCATGTAAATAAAGCATGACTGTAGCGTCATGTGGGCCAGTGCCCACTCTGTGCAGATGACTTTACATGAAGCCTCTTATTTCAGTCTCACCACCACCTGCAAGGTGGGTAATCTTGCAGATCGTGAGGAAACTGAGAGTCAGCGGTTAGGTACGTTGCAGCGTGCAGAGCTCTTAGATGGGAGAATGGATCTTGGGTCCAGGTCTGCTTGCCTCCGGAGTTCTGGCCTTCACCTCACCTGATGCTGCCACCTCCCTGAAGCTTAAGCAGCTTTGAGGGTGTACTAGAAATAAGGGGGCTGAGGTGAAAGGACTTTCACTAAATCTTAAAAGTAGCTGGTAATAGAGCTAGAAGTCAGTCCCTGGGATTGACTTGGTAAGTTGTAAGATACACATTTTTTTTTTTAATCCACACTTATATGACTACTCCATGGTCCACTTAAATCATAGCTTCTAGCGGAATGTCCATATTTGTCCATTCACCAAGCATTTGTGGAGAGCATCCTGCCCATCAGGCACTGTGGGAGGTGCTGTGTGTGCGGTGGAAACTGGCCGGCTGCAGCCTGGCCCTGGTGCTCCCTGTCCTGGTGGGTGTCTGAGAGAGTGCAAGGTTAGAGGCAGAGTGGCCCCTGAATGCTTGAGGTACAGAGATCAAGGGGCTGAACCGGTTTTCAGGGTAGGGCAGGGACTATTGAAAGCTTTGATCATGGATCAGACTTGCCTTCTGAAACTTACTTACACTTTGGCTACAGAACCAAAGGTGGGCAGGAAGTCTAGGGAGCTGAGAGGAGGTTGTTCAGTCAAGTAAGAGGTGATGGTGGCATGTAGCGCAGTGTTTCCTGAGAGTTAGGGTCGGTGCCCTCATTTATCACTCTAGTGCTCCCAGCCATGGGGCGCAGTTCTGACAGCATCTCCCAACAACGTAAGTATTGATCAGTGGGAACTTTCCTTTAGAGCCATTACTTTTAAGTGTCTGAGATTAACTACAAATCCCACAGAACGCCAGGACAGATCCTGGCTCTACTCGCTCTGCCTTAGGACTTTAAGGAAAGCGGTTTATTGGAGCATTTTATTTTAGTATATATGTCAGAAAAAGATTGTTTTCCCTCAACAGCTACATCACGTCCCCTTGACAGCATGTGGACGTGCACGCCAAGTTGTACTGATGCCATGCGTGTGCTTTCAAATCTGCTCCATGCCGAGTTGGGCTGGATGGGAGCTGAGGCAGACTGGTGAGGGAGATCCCATTTAGAACTGCGCTTGCATGCAGATTTCCTTTGCCCCTCCCTTTCTGACAGGCAGAGATGCCCCGTAATCTACCCACATGGGCTGGTTCATTGTATACAGCTGGGTGAACCCCTCATACTGAAGCAGTAGGGCTTGGCACATATTCTCTGCTTACCCAAAGGGGAGGGTCCCATGCGAGGCCTTGTGGACCAAATACCACCAAGTGAACCAGGCATGTAACATCTTTAATCTCCCAGGGTAGATCACCGGCTGCTGCAATCTCAGGCATATACACGGCAGAAACTGGGCAGAAGTCAGGGGTGGTTATTTTCACTTAGGAAAAAATGGCTATCTTCTCACCTCTGAAGCCCCAGGAAGATGAACTGGGTCTCAGAGGATCTCACTCTGGGAATGATAGGACTTCCATTTGCATGGGTGGATTAACTCTCCGTCCTTTCGAAAGTCAGCAGAGGCAACAGCCTTGCAAAGCTTCACATATTCTCTGAGAACTCGTATCTGGTGACATGAGAGTTGTTCTGATATAAAATCAAAGCAAAATAGGTTCTTTTTTACCCTGCAATGCTCTTATTGGAACATTCTTCTACCACTAAGTATTGGGCTTTTGATTTCCATCACTTTTTGTTTGTTTGTTTTGTTTTTCTGCAAATATGTGTAGGGTGAAGAAGTTGAAGGAGACCTTTGCTTTTATTCAGCAGTTGGACAAAAACATGAGCAACCTTCGCACCTGGTTGGCTCGAATTGAGTCTGAGCTTTCCAAGCCTGTTGTTTATGATGTCTGCGATGATCAAGAGATCCAGAAGAGGCTCGCTGAGCAGCAGGTGGGACAATCAGAAATGAGCTCCTGCAAGAGTATGGGTGTCCGCGATGTGCACTGACTCAGGCCTTCCCTGTATAGCTGTGTGTTTTCACGTGCTCACATTTCATAACGTTGGTTTGCTTTTTCCAGAGAAAACTGACCATCTTTCCACGTTCTTATATCCATCTCTTGAGTGCTCCCTCCCACATTCATGTAGCTTTTTGTGAAACTGTGTGAATAATGTTTAAGATGCAAACCTTAATCTTGGTGGTAAATAAGGTTTTTAAAATTATGTCTTTTTTTTGACTCTGATCTTTGTTGTGTTTTGTTAATATAGTTTTGAAAGGCAACTAATTGAAAGAAAAGCAACTTTTCTAACCAAGGAAGGTTCTTATGGGATAATATTCTGTGTGTCTGGAACAGCTTTTTAAAAAATTAAAACAAGAAAAGGTGTGATAAGGAACATGCTTGGACCCAATAGTTTAGGAAGACTTTTAAGAGCTGCAATGCTCTGTGCATTTTTGTTATCAGATATGCATGCTCTGAGCCAATCCTGGAAATTGTGCAGTTTGAAAGCTGCTGAGTTCTGCCAGTGTTTCTCATTGTACCCACCTGGTAGGTGCTATTTGACGTCACTAGTTTATCAAATCCACTTTCCTGACTTCCCTGGTCTCATGGCCACATGCTCATTCTCACATGCAATGCCTGGATTTGTCTTTTTTTTTTTTTTTAAATAGCTAAGTTTATCTTAATCTTTCTTTAGCTTTTGTTCACCTCTTTTTTCTCAGACCTGTGGGCAGATTCTGTTTTGACTGTAGAAGCAGTATGATTCTCAGAGTCGAATCTGTTTTCTTCACGTTAAGCCTCCACCACACACCACATACCACAGATGCTTAGAGACAGGATTGAGGGTGAACCTTTTTCACCAGATTCAATATTTGGTGCTACTGTTGACATTTTTTAAGAGATGGCGTCTCACTGTATTGCCCAGGCTGGTCTTTAACTTCTGGGCTCAAGTGATCCTCCCACGCCAGCCTTCTGAGTAGATGGCACTGCAGGCAGGCACCGCCATGCCTGGCCCTCCCTGCTCTTGACTTTTCTAAGTGCTATTACAATTACTGTTTAAATGATGCCTGTTCTCTGGCTTTCAAGCTAGTATGATTTAGTAATGCTACAAATTAAAAATACTGGTTTTTCCACTTAGCTTTGGAACTTTAAGCATGTCTTTTTCATCGAGGTCATCTAGACTCTGCTTTGTGCAGAAAAGAATATTGATATAAGTATTAGGGAATTTTAATGGACATTACAGAGATTTTAATGCCTCTCTCATTGGAGTCACAGCTACTGAATACATCAGTTTTACTTAAAAGTGTGATCCACTAGGATGAATGTCTTTGAACAGTCTGTGAAAAGGCAAGGCCTTGCAAATGAATTTACCCTGAGTGGTGAGTTTTTTCAGGTAGATTATATGGAAGCTGTCAATACCTTTCCTCTTAAAGAATGGCTGGCCAGATTTTGCTGGGGCTGTTGATAGTGTGTTAATTTTTTTTAAATCCAAAGTGTGACAGAACATTAAATTAATTAAATTGCAGAGAATTTGTTCCCAAAAGCATACAATTTGGAGCCACTGCTATTCTCTTAGCCTTATTTCTTCCCATCCTGCAGTGGCACATAATTTCAATCTGGTTGATTTGAAAATTCTCTCTTTATAGAATTCAGCATCACCTTAGTGACATTTCTATCCCTTGGTTACTTTAAAAAAAAAAAATCAATGGAATTGGTGTTCAGGACTACCATTATTGTGTAGAAGTTAGATACTGTGTTAGTTTTCTACTACTGTTGTAACCAATTACAGATTTAGCAGCTTAAAAACACAAATTTATTATATTTCTGGAGGTTAGAGATCTGAAATGGATCTCACTGGGCTAAGATCAGGATGTCATCAGGGCTGTGTTCCTTGCTGGAAGCTCTGGGGAGAATCCATTTTTTTGCTTTTTCTGGCTTTAGAGGCCACCCACATTGCTTGGCTCATACGTGCCTCTTCTGCCTTCAGCGTCATCAACATTGCATCTCTCTGTGTCTTTCTTCATAGTCACATCTCCCTCTAGCTGCCTCCTCTTCTGCCGTTAAGGACCCTTAAGATTACAGTGGGCCCACCCTGCTAATCCCGGATAATCTCCCTATTTCAAGGTCAGCTGATTAGCAACTGCAATTCCCCGTGTAATCTAACAGATTCACAGATTCCAGGATTAGGATCTGGATGTGTGTGTGTGTGTTGGAGGGTGTCATTGTCATTATTCTGCCTGCCACAGATGATCTCAGGATACTTTTAGTATTTTTGTTAAAAAGAATAAGTTACAGTGTATTTATATTATACTAAACTCAGACCTTAAGTACCCCATCCAAAACACTGGCAACAAATGTGTTACACAAAAGAATTATGCATGGGCCACTTTTTAAAACCTTACCTAGTGACCATTTTTGGTCTGGGTTAGAAAACCACCTTACCTATGTTTACTTTTCAAACTAAATATAATAAATTAATTGCTTCCAAAAATAAGACCTAAAAACATGGCATCACCTAGCATTGCCTTATGCAAAAGCCCTCGGCCCCCCAAAGTAGCTAAGAGCCATGATGTCCCTGGATCCTCACTGTAATGCACCTGGTCGGGGAGGGGTCAGACCCTCTAAAAGTCCTCTCTGTTTCGCCTTTCTTACATAGAACACCTTTAGGTATAAGGTAATGGGGGTTATTCCTATGGAATATATCATCTTTAAAATGCACAGGAAGTAGTGGCAATTTTGTGACATTTAAATCACAAATCACTTTCGTTGAAACTTTTTAAGATCCCTGTCCTAGTTTTTTCATTGGTTGGTTTCTTGTTTCTCTGTGGGGTGTGCCAGATGGTGGCTTGGAGGAGTTATTAGTTACCCTTCCATTGGCTAATGAATAGCCCCTGCCGTGGGCCAGCTGAGCTTCACCTCACGCCCCCTGAACCATCCCAACACCCCCCGTCCCACTTGCTACCCAAGCCCCTCCCACAGAGACATTCAGGAGCTGGCACTGGGGTTTCACCCTATATGATTTTCTGTCTTTTCAGCCTGTTTTTTTTCTCCTCAGCCTCCCTTACCTTCTGTTTTTGGTTCCTTTTTATTCTCATTCTTCTGGCTGCGTTCTCTTCTCCAGTTTCAGGTCTATCTCCTCTTGCTCTGTACCTCCCAACCCCCAAGTTCCTCCCCAACCTCAGTGTTCTGTGTCACCTGCCCAGGGGCAGAAAAACAAAGTGAACAGGAGCCTGTTAGAACTGTCAGCAAAAGTCTTTCTCAATGTTTTATGTTGTTTCTTAAATCTACTTTTTCTCTAGATTTGGACAGTTTCTAAGACCTAATTCTTGTGCAGACTTACATCTCTGTGGATACTAGTGGTAGGATTATTTCAGTTTGCAAAATGTTCCTGTCTAGCACTTAAATGGTCTGCATTTTAAAAGGTAGTCTGGCACTGTATTTTCTATTGTACAAGGTAACTAGTAGGCCATTGTGTGGTGTTTTACATGGTTTTAAAAAAAATTTTGAAAATGTTTTTTGAAAAGTTTTGAGAAAGTTTTGAAAATGTTTGAGCTTTTTTTTAAACCAAGATGTTGATGTTCTTTTATAAATTATTGTAGAGCTCATTTCTTACGGCCATTTACCCTAAATATTAAATCAGTTTTCTTTAGCCATTTGATTCAATGTAAGCTGAATAAATAATGTAGGATAATTGCAGAGTTTATTAAAATACAGAGCATTCATATTGTCCATAAACTAGAACCTCTCTCTGCTTTTCAGCTAGACCTTACCCACCTGGAGCCAGATGAGGTCATGGGCATTTTTCAGTTATAAGTGATGAGTATTATTTATTTAACACCAGTATCAGGGTTCCTAATTTATTATTTTAATATTTAAATAGGACATATATCTTCTGATTTTAGAAGGGCCCCACGACAGTGCTATGAACCGGTAAGAGTTCTTAAAACTGGAATTTTATTTAGACATAATAACTGTAAAGTCAGTCCTCAAATTGACTCCAGGGAGACTCCCACCATTCAAGCATAACAGGCCTTCCACCCACACTGCAGAGCTCTAACGAAATACCCTGCACATTCTTCACAGTGCACACGGGGTGGCCAAGTGGACAACACATCTCTTCTGAATATAACCTGGTGGTGGTCGTTTGTACTCAGGATCAGTGTTAGGAACTGCCTGATTTAAAATTCGGTTGGCGGGTTGGCATTTTATTCCCTCATATCAACCTAAACACACAACGATCGGAATTGCGCATTTATATGAAGAAAAGTAAGAATAGGGGCTGGGCATGGTGGCTCACCCCTGTAATCCCAGCACTTTGGGAGTCTGAGGAGGGTGGATCGCTTGAGCTCAGAAGTTGGAGGCCAGCCTGGACACCATGGCAAAACCCCATCTCTACCAAAAATACAAAAAATTGCTGAGTATGGTGGCCAGCTACTTGGGAGGCTGATGTGGGAGGATCGCTTGAGCCTGGGAGGCAGAGGTTGCCGTGAGCCAAGATCGCACCACTATGACAGAGTTGAGACCCTTGTCTCAAAGAGAAAAGTAAGAAAATAGTGGTCCCATCTAGTAATATAGTAATAATCTCAAATTATTTAAATATCAAAGTGACCTGGAATGAAGCTTATATTGCCTTTCTGTAGATGGTGACAGCTACCATTTATAATATAGTCCTCTTATTAACTGAAATTTGTTGAGTCCTGGGAACTGGATTTAGTCTAGTTAATAGTGGCTTAAAGTAGTGTAGATTTCAGAAATTGGTATATTATGAAATAATTAAAATAGAATTTAACTTAGTCTTTGCTTTCTCACAATGTAATTTGGATATTAAAACTAAATGTGGTCTCGTGTCACTTGTCACAGAATTTGGACATCAGGGATGCCTAACTCTTCCAGAATGGCAAAACAAACAGGTTCCTCATCTCCCTCCCTCCCTGCAGCCCACTCATGGGGGTGCAGCAGTGTTACTATCCGATGATGACTAAAAGTGCCATGTTTATTCGTAAAGAGGTTTTCCAGTTTTTCCTATGACCATGCATTTTCTCTTCACAAATGTTCCTTTTTCCGAATTGGGGATTGCATCACTTTCCCCATCAAAGGACAAGACTGCAGAAACCCTGCCTCTCCCCAAGCCACCGCAGCCTTGGCTGGGCTTTATCGGCTGGGGAGGCCAGGTCTGTCTGCCAGAATTCCTCCCGTGGGCTCATGAAGCCCTTGAATGAGCTCATGGGGAGCCTGTGGGCACGCACACTGCTGCATGCACAATTTGGTGTGTGTTTGAAGAGTTCAGTAGCCCATAAAAGGTGGAGAGTTCCTACTGAAGAGACTCACTTTCTAAAGACTTACCTGAAACCAAGTCTAAACTGGAGCCCTTTGGGGTGGGTGGTATGGAGTAGATCCCATGCATACCCAAAGTCTGTGGGGCAATGGGCTCTCAGCAGTAATGGTGCCACCTGTCAGTGAGTAGAGGACGACGCCCACCACTGTGCCACCCCTCACGTGGTTCAGCACGCAAGTCCTAGGTGTTTTCAGTGTTTCAACTTTGTGTCAGGTGCTTACAGCACAAGGGTAACACAAAGATGAGAGGGATTCCATGTGTACTGCCAAGCCCATGGTGGAAATCCACGCAGGGAAGTATCCCCTGGGCTGGGAGAAGGGAGGGAGGAAGGGGGGTCCTTTGATGCTGACCCTCCTGCTGTCACCAACGTCTCAAGAGGTTTCTTACTCTGTTGTAATCACAGGATCTACAGCGAGATATTGAACAACACAGCGCAGGGGTGGAGTCTGTGTTTAACATCTGTGACGTTCTACTGCACGACTCCGATGCCTGTGCAAATGAGACTGAGTGCGACTCGATCCAGCAGACCACCAGGAGCCTGGACAGACGCTGGAGGAACATTTGTGCCATGTCCATGGAGCGGCGCATGAAGTAAGAACTAAGCTCCCCCAAAGGTCTTCAGCATGGTCAGCCGAACTCAGCACACCCTTCTGACCTCATTCACAGTAACTGTTCTGTTCATTTCACTTAGAAATGCGCCAGGTATTGGCAGAGAAGGCCCAATGCTTATCAAAGGATTTATTCAAGAAAAATGTAACAGGAGTCATGTCTCTCTCCAGCTCTCCTGTGTGGGGTATGGCTGTGAGCTGGCCACTGTGCTTCTGTTGACCTAGCCAGGTAGTAGTGGAGGCAGCCCTGTCTCCTAGTTTTTTAACCTCTGTGAAGCAGGAGCTCTGAGGTGCTTGGCACTCCCAGGCGGGAGGAGCACAGACCAGAAGTGGCGTCCCTGTTATTTCCCAGAAGGGGTAACAGGGTCTCCCCCACTAAACTGTGCAGGTGTCAGGGGATAAAAGAAGGGCAAAAGCACGGGCTTAGCACGGGCTTGCAGGGGATGGCTTGTGTTAAGATGCTTTCCTCCCATCAGAATCGAGGAGACGTGGCGCCTGTGGCAGAAGTTTTTAGACGACTATTCCCGCTTTGAGGACTGGCTCAAGTCAGCGGAGAGGACGGCGGCCTGCCCAAATTCCTCAGAGGTGTTGTACACAAGTGCCAAAGAGGAACTGAAGAGGTTTGAGGTAAACGCCTTCTCCATCCCAGTCTCCTGATCATAACCAAGCCTGCAGCGAGCCTGGGAGCTGCTGAAATGGCTTCCTCTAAGTGGCCAGCTTCTCCTCACCTCTGGCGAGGGCTGCCCAGTCCACAGCCTGCCCCCGGCTGCTGAGACAGCTTTGCAAGACATTGCGGATGTATGCCAGCTGCTATGCAATGAACTTGAAAGCCTGTTGTGTAACTGGCATCAGGACTGGTGAATTAGGCCCTCTGCTGCCATTGCAGTTTGGGGGTGAACCCCTGGCAGCAGGTTGCTTGAGGTGTAGAAGGGAAGGAGGGTGTCATGGCACTCTGCACACTTTGGCTCTGACCCCTCCCGTGTGATGCAGGCCTTTCAGCGGCAGATTCACGAGCGGCTCACTCAGCTGGAGCTCATCAACAAGCAGTACCGGCGGCTGGCCCGGGAGAACCGCACAGACACAGCCAGCCGGCTGAAGCAGATGGTCCACGAAGGCAACCAGCGCTGGGACAACCTCCAGAGGCGGGTCACGGCCGTCCTGCGGAGACTCAGGGTGAGCTCCCCTGCGCCTGGCTCGGGTGTAGATTTTCAGGGAGACGTAACGTGCGATATGCAATGGCAGGCTTGTCACACACAAAGCAGCAGATCGAAGGTTTCACTTCAGGCCTGAGCTGTTTTAACATTCCTCCAACACGAAGCCCAAAGCTGCCAACGTTCATTTTCTAAAAGGGGGATTTGCATGTGGAGCTTCTCAGGCAGGGCCTGTTGATGAGATTTGTGTTACCAACACACAGCTCTTTTTACAACTTCTATAACCCGTGGTGGTGTGCATGTTAGCACAGAGTCCAGGGCACAGCTTCACTGGGTCTGGAAAAGGCAACACATGGGTCCCTGGAAGGAGCCCCACTTTGCCCATCTGTCTGTGTTTTTGGGACCCACCAGCTCTCGCACTGAGGATGGACAAGGCACATGAATGCAAGAGCCTCTGTCTGCACTGGGGGGTTGGGGACTGTGATTATTCTCTGAATTTCAGACCACACAAAGGTTTGGTTTTTGAAGGTAAATATTCACCTTAGATTAATGTCATTCAGAAGACGTGCTGTGTAGACCTGTGTGAGTCTGGGTATAAACTGAAAGGACGGTCACAGGCAGGGACTACAGGACACAGTTTTAATTTCCGCATCTGTTCTCAGGGCAGGGCGTTGCTGAACCCATTCTAGAAAGATACGAATCTGGGCTTCTTTCTTTTCTTTCTTTTTTTTTTTTTTCTTTTCTCTCTCTCTCTCTCTCTCTCCCCTCTTCTCAGGAAGACATTGGCTTTTCTAGTAACCTAGACAACTCCTGTGCATTTCTTTCTGTCTCTCTCTCCCTTCCTGTCTCCCCCTCTTTCTTTCTCTCTCTCTTCTCTGTCTTCTTTCTTTTTTTTTTTTTTTTTTTTTT